AGGAGAAAGTGCCAGTGAATCCCTTCATCAGGCCATGAGGTGGATGAGGAAAAAAGGCTCTACCTATGTGTCTGAGTGGGCTTCGTTTACGCTGATTGGAGATGATGTGAGGCTCGAGTTTCACAAGCAGAGGTAAGACTCGGTGAGAACAGGTATTTCATAAATTAAAGTTAATTAGATGTGAAGGTGGCTATGACTTACTGGTCGCTGACGGCCGGTAGTTATCTTTTGTAACCTTGAATATCAAGGCTAGTTTCATGCCGTTTTTTTTTTTTGTTCCTTTCAAAGAGTAACAATTTATTCTCCCAGTTAGGTGTAAAATATAGAATTTCGAAAGCGTCCCTCTGCCAATCAGATATAAGTGTACATTTGCCTACATAATGCGCCTGGTATAACTGTATTTGCTTTGTTTAAGAAATGTTGATTAATTTGTTTTTAATTGTTTTTTTTTACGTTTGTTACAGGAAAGAAGATGAGAATAGCTTGAAGTAAACAGACCTTAGAGACTTAGCTGGATAAACAAATAGATGAAGTACAGCAAATACTCTATCGGTTATTTCATTGTGTAATTAAAGAAGGGAAATCTTCAATTAAGCATGTTAATTTCAATTTTTTGCGTTCTCTTTTCCGATCTTCTCAGAAGGAGATATTGGTTACGTATCCGAGAATATTTTTTTCGGCATGAAAATTATCTTATCCGGCCGATATAATTAGCACGAAACATTATTGACTTAGGGCTCTTAAGCGAAGTGAAATCAGGAAAGTTAAAAGAGTAGTTTAAGCATCAAAAACGAGCCAGTCAAGTCTCACAGGTTTTTCTCTCAAAGCCTTTTGTTATAGGTTTCGTTAACAGAATCTTAAATTTTTGATGTAAATCTCAACAGAAACCTTTTCTTTTGGTCAGTTCTAGTACAACTTCTAAGTGCTTTAAAGCTGAGGAATAAAATATAAGGATTTCAAATAGAACCATGGAAAAAGCTATCAAGGTCAAGAATTTTATTACTATAAAGTGGAAAAATTACAGCAGCAATATTTTGAAACTGGTTCAACTAGTCACTTACGCATTGTAATGTTTGAAATAATCTGTTTGCATGGTGATTTGATCGTTTTTAAGTCAGGTCATTATCAAAATGTTGTTTAGGGAATCAAAATATTCCTGTTATTTACCACACTTTATACACTTTTTTGGGCAAAGTTTCTTAAGAGATTTTATAATAATTCCAAAGACGCTAAAATAAAAGACAGCTTAAAAGAAATCTTAGAAAATATCGCGAGCGTTTGTTTTAACCAGGTTACAGAGTAAAACAGATAGCACTGTTGTTCATTGTTAAGGCGGCAAGGTGGCGGGATAAAAGATGCAACTGGTAGGAGTGTCTGCATGTGGTCCACTGACGCTTTCCTGCGCAGAAAGCATCAACAAACGCTATCATCGCAATCTTTATGCAACCAATCTGCAACCTTTTTTCAAAGGTTGAAACGTTGGGGAAAAACGGTGGGGTAAGCTGTTATACCTGGCAACTTCAAGAGAAGATATAAGAGAAGCCCATACGATTCTGGCATATTGTTTTACTGACTCGCTGTGCTCACTGCACGTATACACCTCAATCCACCAGTAATGTCTTAGGGCAAAGTGGTTTACTGTCGTTTCTTTCAATTTTGGCTCATTCTCCCGGACCGAAGTTATAAGTCACGCTCAATAGAATATAATTTCAACTGATGCTGACATCATGCACTTCATCTGAAGAAGAGAACACTCCCTATCTTCGAAAATTTGGTTACAACATCACGAAGAACGACGGGTGACGCTATATCGAAGGCGTTCGTAGAGGGTTAGAGTACACGGTAATTTTGGTCAGCGAGAAAATTATGAAACCCGCAGATATTGCGAAAGCCCGCGAAAGGATGACATCTAAAAACTGAAGACAATTTTTGATTAAGACACTAGAATGCGTTATGGTGGCGGCGACTAATCATTCTTCTTTAAATAACTCGGAGATTGATTTCCTTAAGGAAAACCTTGAAAATTGTTCTGTTGAAAATCAGTACTTCTTGGGTTATTTCGGGGGGAAAAGAGACGAGTTCGAGGATATGCTCGAGAGGTTTCTTCTTGTTCCACATGCTTTGTAAAGAAGGCCTTGCACTCAAAGGAGTTAAATCACAAAAGGTTTTCGAAAAAATGTTTGGCAGTTTCTTTTATTTTTAGCTGATTTTTTTGCCTTTATCAATTCGGTGTGGGCCTTGTAGAGACTTGATCTTTTGCCGCAATTTTGTAAAAACTTACGCAATGCACCGGGCGTAAAAGTGTTGAAATATTTAAAAGTATTTCATATATAGGGAAGCCCTTGGAAAACACTATTAGTGCGCATTATGCATTTGCAGCGTCTCTCGTCTTTGAACACAATGGTGGTAATGTACCGATCCAATTTTGTGGCAAACCGTTTACCATCGTAAGCAATGGAACTCGGCATCGTGAGAATTTCTTTTGAAAACAGAGTTTGAAATGTAATGAAACGTACTTGTAATATTCGATTTTTGCATAACCCGCGAAACTGTTTTAATTTTTCTAAGTATTTTAGTGGAGGAATCCATCGAGCTTTTCGCATACTGAGGAAACGAAATCGGGAAGGTCATTTACATCCATTTACTACAGAATTTCCCATAAACGTAGCAAGTGTACAATTCCTGAAATTCCCGTTCGTTATTTCACGAATTATCTGAAGTTTCAGTGTTGACAAATTTTTCGTATTGTGTAAGTAAAAAACATTGAACTTCTCTCAACGGACTCAACGCTGCAAGGAGAATCTCTCTCATAATTTACTTTTTAAGAGACGACATTACCGTCTAAAATTCAAACATTACCGTTAGGCTTATTAGCGCATTGATGACCTAGTAAATAGCTCAAACATACTGAAAACATTTTTATTAGTTTTTGTATATCTTTATCTGTGAGCCACATGTGAGTAATCAAAAACAGAGCAGTATAGTTTGGTGGCTTTTTTTCATGAATCTAGGATTTGGGGAATCGCTATAAACTACGCGATGACGCATTTAGTAATATTTCTTCTCCTCCTAATGATTGATACTGGAAGAAAATAGTAACGGTGTAATGCCATTTTATGTGCCTGTTATAAGAAAAAATTTGTACTCGCATTTAGCTTACAGGTAAAGATCCCATGAAAATTTTTCAAAAGAAATATATATCTCAGTGGTTATCTTATGACAACCACAAATTACTCAAACAAAATCAAGAAACTCCCGCAGGACCTCAAAGCTCCTTTGTTCAGAACGATCTTGAACAGTCTTTTTTGAATTTTTCGTGGGGAACAAGTGCTGAAGCTTACATTACATGAGCTGTCTTAAGATACCGCTGACTAGCATGTGTGTAGTTGTGAGAACATCGTCCCCAGGTTCCAGACTTCGTCAATTCTTCCCCACCTCTCCACCCCCGAACTGGTCTTTCAATCCATTGAAGAAACTCTTCTACATCCAGTGCTGAAGAGATTTATTACAGTTTTTATTCAGTATAAAGAAGGGCTGGAAAATAAACTAACAAGAGCTCCACTTTTAGGCTTGGCTAAATCTATATAATGCTGAGACTGAGAAGTAACGGCTCGCATAGGCGCCAAGCCTTCGATTTCAAGGCAGTGGGACTGTGGTGCAATAATCACAAATCATACCAGAGCACACGAGCAATATCCACGACATGTTGGAGGAGCAAGCAAGCTGATTTGTCTGATTTGGTGTGTCCAGTCAAATGATGGCTTCCTCAATGATTTAAAATGTTATATTCTTAAAAAATTTAACTGACGGATGATCGAAACCTGGCATTGATCTTGAGATTCGCTGGGAGCCCACAACGGGCTGTATTCACTCGTTAATAATCCCTTGGAGTTGAGCGCGACATTTTGTAGTAATATTGACTTTTAAATCGCCAAAATTTCTCCCATTAATGTTAATGCTTACATCTTGCTAGCGCTGTTAGACTTAGAACAAATCCCTTTCCTCGCGGTCCATCAACCGAGAGCTGACAGCCTAACAGGCCCCCATATTGGACACTCGCTTGACTCCTACTGGAGACCTTGAAACTCTCGTCCAATGCCGATTTTGCAACCCTTTAAACCCACACCCTATCTTACACTTAATTTATTACATAGTCTGCTTTAGGCTGTCGGTCAGAGTAGACGGGCAAAGAGCAGACACGTGAAAAATGGAAAACAGTTGCTTATTTGATAATGACACTGTGCTAGTTTCTATAGAGAAAGCTGTGTTTCGATAGATATAGTCGCTTTTCAGAGGCAAGAAATAGGTCTTCGCCGGTTGCTAAGACATCTCCAGTTTTCTCGTTCGGACCTCTTACTGAAACTTTACTTTTGTATACGGTGTTTTGTTTAACGAGTTGCCCCCAGGGATTCCTTAATTTGCTAAACCCTTTAGAGGACATCCGTTAAAAATGAGACAAAAATTTAAATTTTGAGGCAAGGCTCATAATTTCAAATTGTTTCTATTTTTGCGCGCAAGTAGCCCCTAGTAAGACAAGAAACGCTGAGAATTTTTGTCTCTCAAATATGTTTTTATTTTCGAGAAAAACGAACTTATCGCTTTTACCCTAAGGAATTGATATATCGGGTCATGACAGACCGAAATTGAGCACTTTCGTTCGCTTTGCGTTTCAAAGATATTGCGTCAAGGGAAATCCAACCAACGTGTGCTCTTTCACAGAATCTTCCTCCTCTGTAAAATGTTAGTTTTATAGTAATTGGTTGCTTAGTAGCTTTAAGCCACAGAAAAGAACAAAGTGCTCTCTTCAGTTACGAAAAACGCTGTGACTAAATGCCCGGCAGCCGGTCACGGTCCCAAATAGACTAAATGCCCGGCAGTCAGAAATTTCCACAGATTTTCCACCGAAAGGTTCTTTCAAACTTCAGATATTTTTATTCAGAAATATCAAGCGATTTCAAAAAATTGATATTCATTTCCAGAGGACAAACTCTTTGAACTTGAGCGCACTGAAATGTCGCTCGGTTGTCGACAATTGCACGCCTCTGATCAGAATGCCTCATGATGAAGGCGAAGCAGATCTTCGACTGCGGAGGCAAAGAAAATGAAAGGAGACTTAATCTTTGTTCCAAACTGATCATCACTCCAGTCGCCGATCTACTCACTGAGCCGGAAATGATAATTGTTTAGACTCATAGTCTAAACCATCTTTCTGGCTCACCTTGTCGAAAACTTCTCCAGCCTCACGTCAAGTTCCTCTTGTCCAATGGGTAAGCAAATTAAATGTTCGCGCTTTTCTCGGTGTTTACATTTTTTAATACAATGGGATCCTTTCAACCAAAAACTCTGGGTTCAGACTGAAGTTATTAACTGGGACAGCCTTGAATTATTTCACAGGCAATATCCTTCAGAATACTGACGCTGGTAATATACAGGTGCTGTTTTCCTGGATCTATCTAAAGGTTTCGACACGGGTGATTGTCACCATCCATTGCAGAGGCTAGCGAACATTGGTCTTACCAC